GGGAAAGAGAAAACAAGAATTATCATCAGGTTGAGAGACTGGGCATTTGCCTCTGAAGCCGCACACGCCTCCACTAGGCCCATCATCAAACTCATCCTTGCTCAGGACACAGTGCATTCTGCACTCACCACCTGTGGAAGGCTCTCGTTCAAAGGACAGTGACAGTGATCCTCTGGAAGAGAAGGCGGAGTCCACAGAAGACACCCCCGAGAGCCTCTTGCCGCTGCTGGACGATGGGAGCTTGGACTCGGAGGAGCTGCGGCTGAGCTCTTCAGGGCCCTCTATAGTCTGAGAGATTCCAGAGTCCAGCTGTGACAGCAGCTCTGAGAGGCTGTAGTCATTATCAAAGGTGGGAGCAGAGGCACGCTTCAGCCGTGTGGACACGGGCACTGCCTGCAAGGGTAGGGGAGATGGGGTGGTGAAACCTGGGCCATACCTCATGTGACCCACCCACAGCCTAGACCCAGAAGGAGCAGGTGAACTCCAGGAAGGAGTGGGCAAGGAAGGAAAGGCTAACGGCCACTGCAGTCACCAGTGGTAACAGACAATTTGGCCAGTGTCACCATCGACACAGTGCTAGGGAGCCCAAGGACTCAGGGCTGCAGAGACACCCAGCAGGCCTCCTCAGCACCAGGACACTGAAAAGGGATGAGTGCATGGAGACGGAGTGTCCCCCTGCTCGGTGGCAGTGCACAGCATCACCCAGACCAAAGGCAAAAGGCAAATGAGCCCCAAGAGTGTGAAATGTGAGTGGCTGTGTCATCCATCAGGAACAGGTCAGCATTAGTAGAAAATAAATGGATAACACAGACATCCAAGCCAATCCAGTATGCACCAATGGGGCCCTTTGATCACGTTTCACCTAACACATGGAGAGGGAAGTAACTTTCCGATGTTACCATCTGATGGGATGCCCCAGTCCTCCCTCCTGAGAACTGCCTGATTTGCCCTCGCTGTATAGCTGGTACTGAGACAGTCACTGGTGGGCCATCTTTCTTTGCCTTGTGGGACCAGTTCTGTCCCTTGGTCACCACCTCTTAAGGCAACTTTGCTCCTTGACCATCACATGTACACCTGCCATGCTGGGACACCGGATGTACCATAAACGCTCACTTATCTCCCGATCTTACACTGACAGCATGGAGAGAAACTAAAAAACACAGTGCAGGCTCACTGTCAAGCTTCCCTTTAAGTCTGCCCGTGTTTACGACCCTAACAGCTCTTCAGCCTTAGCTCTTGGGATTTGGAGCTGCTGGGTCACCATAGTTAACACACACCAACAAGCAGCTATTTCATGTCATGCGTGCACTCACCCTGTTCCTGCATCTCTACAGGCAGGACGTGATTGGGCAGATAAACCTGGGGCATGTGGGACCTCCACTCCTAATGCCATAGGGCTCAAAAGGGATGAAGAGCAGCCCAGGTAAGCAGAAATTTGCAGACAGGAGGACTGGCCTGGAAGAGTCAATCATTGGAGCCAAGGATACGAGAAGACACCTACAGAAGACCCCTCTTACCTCACTCCGGGGTTCGGGTGGGCTTTTCTCATCCAGGTCATGAGTTGTTTCTTTCACTTCATCTTCAGGTTTTTCACATAGGTCCTCAGTTTCAGAAGTAATTTCTTTTGGGGAATAAAACAAAAATGGGCATGTCACTGGGGTGATTACTTCCACTCACTTTCTGCCTAAACATCTAACCCTGGGGACAGAAGAAATCACACCCCAAAGCCTCTCACACAGCTTGTCCCAGGCTGACCACACTGGGCAAGCCCAGGGGGCCCCATATGGGTGATTTGCCAACCAAACCTAGGCCTGCCTTCAGCAAGCATTTACAGGTTTCAGCAAACTAAAAGTAGGGGTCCCTGCTCTGGAGACCCAGATGAATGTGCATGTGCACACATATACATTGGCACCTGAAGGTGGTCCTGTGTCACTGCCATTTTCCCTGGCTGTTTTAGCTGCATGTGATGAATTTCACTTTCATCAGGGCTGCTTTCCTATACAAAAAACACATCTCTTCTATGAGGTCAGGATCCCAAGAGAAGGCCAGGCCTCTGGCCCCAGTAGTCTCCTAAAGGATCATCCCAATCTGACCTTGAGCCACCACACTCCAAATTCTCTGGGCTCCTCTGGGCAGCAAAACCAGCCTTGGCTGGGTGCTCAGGAGGGCAGTGGAACAGACAGCAGAGGTGACCACTGGTCTTGAGTGCAGGAGGGCCACAGGCTGGGGTAACCTGTTTAGGAGAGCTCGTCTTAGCCTACCTGTCCCTCTGTACATAGTCTCCTCCAACCCTATCCTGGTCATCTACTGTCTCCTGTGACCCGGCACAATGACCAGGCGCAGCCCCATTCTGGAGGACTGAGCTTGGGCCGTGCCCAGAGCTCACCTTGGAAGGTGGGCCGCTCACGCGGGTCCTCATGCCAGCACCTCTGCATGAGGCGTATCAGGTTGCTGCAGGCACGTGGCCGGGGCCTGCAGATAGGCGGCAGCTCTGGGCGGTGGCCCTTTACCACCTTCACCATGATGTGCAAGATGTTTTTCTCATCTGTAAGAAAGGCACATGAGTCAAAGTGGCTCTGGGGCAGAAGAGGCATGGAGTTCTTCTCTTTGTGGTTATGTAGGAAAGTTCAAAGGGACACACTGTGTGCATGTCCTCTGCCCTGTCCCTGGGAAGCCTCTTGAATCCCTGATTAGAGCTCAGATCTCTCTTCAACACCTACCCTCAAGGGCACATTTCTGTCTGCTTTTCACATCCCTCCTTCCCAGGGTTGTGATCTACCATGATGGAATCAGCACGGCACACAGCACCCCTTGCTGTGGGTCCATCCAGGTGGACCCAACTCTCTGCTGTCCCGCCAATGATGAAGAAATAGTCCCCAATTCCAATTCTTACACTAAAGTTCAGCCGTCCTCCTACCCCTAGCCTGTTCCATGAGCCAGCCACAGCACAACAGCCAGGACACCAGCCCTCCTTGTGGATGTACTGGGGCATATATGTGGGGGGACTTTTCCCCTCAATTCACTAGGTGGGCCCTCATTGGTCCACCTTTCCAATCTCCTTCACAGGCATGCCTAAGCTGTTATTGTTATTATTTTGGCCGTGGGATTGGGAAGGTTTGTGGCAACCCTCAGTAGCTAGGTCTCTAAAACCAGCTCATGCATGCACTAGACTCCAAGCTCCTTGCTACCACAGACCCTGTACTCCCAGCCCTCAGTTCTGTGAAGGGAAGTCTTGGAAATGCAGGCACTGGCCAGCTGGTGCGGGGAGCTGGTCTGCAGCCACCACAGCTGCCAAGTGTCTTCTGATACCTGTTCCCCTTTCCCGTTAAACCTCATGCAGTAACTATTATTACACGATATTTCCATGACTCAAGACTTCCCAACCCAACAGGACTTCTAAATAAAAGGAAAATAAACACCTAGCATGTTTACTGCTGCCAAACACGGATCAAAAAAGCTCACTAGAGGGACCAGCAGTTAGCGTACTGGCTATGTCACCAGACTCCCATGTAGTCGACTGCAGTTCGCGTCCCGGACCCGGTGGCTTAAAACTCACGCCAGATGCGTGTGCGTGCGTGCCCAAGATCCCAAGAGGAGAATGGAGGAGAAGGGATTGTGGCGTGGCCATCCCCCCTGGGGGGGGTGATTTCTCACTTTCTGTCTCTCTGTCTCTCTCTGTCTGGTGAGCGCACGTGCCCTATAGCAAAAACCTCTCCAAAAAAAAAAAAAAGCTCACTAGATGCCTGGTACTCCTGCACCTTGAACCCCACTATCTACCAAGTAATAAAATACAAGGGCCTCGGCATTTACACACGCACCAGGCTTCAGTGTCACATTGGCCAGACAACTTCCTGTCCCACTAGCATGCTGCCATACCACCAAAAACCTCAGGCCATGGGACTCCATGGGACACGTAAGCAAGTAAGGAAGGTGACAAGTAGTGAAGCTAGACAGAGATGGCCTGTTAAAAGAGGGATGTCAGAACATATTCCATTCTTCCTACTGGAATATTTTAAAGCTCCCAATATACTCTAAATCTTGAGACCCTTGGGCAACCTCTCCCTGCTGACACGTTTTTGTACAATGGTGCCTAGCCTTTCCAACCAGTAGGGGTCCCAGAGTTGGGGCCAAGCACTCACTAACTCTGACCTATATTTTTAGACATTTTTTGTTCAGACTATAAAGTACCATGAGTAGACCAGATAAGCCTATAGAGAAAAAGTGGAGTCTTTCTTCCATGAAGCTAAAAAGCACTTGATGTTTACAAGCCAAGTTCGTAAAGTTTTGCTGGGGGGAGTGGGTGCGGGGAAGGAAACACTCCAGCTCTCGGCTGGGCAGCAGGGACCTGGTGTACACATTTGTGTGGAAACTCCCTGAACAGTCCTGGAGATCAGCCACTAAGCCTATGAATGTACTGAGCATTACTCGACTATACGCTTTAAAATGGCTAACATGGCCAAGTATATGTATGTCACATATTTGACCATTTAAAAATTAAAGGAAGCATTGGTTGGAAATATCCAGAACAGGCAAATTTGCAAAGACAGAAAGGTTAGTGGTTGCCAGGATGGGGAGGAGAAAGGAATGGAGTGTCTGCTTAATGGACATGGGGTTTCTTTTGGGGCTGATGAGAACGTTCTGGTACTAGATAGTGCGGATGGTGTACGACACTGGTGGTGTGCTTCATGTCACTGAATTGTATGCTTTAAGTGGCTAAAATGACAACTTCTGTTATGTGTATTCTATGACCAAAAAAAAAAAAAAATTAGTGGGCACCTAAAAAAGAAATCCACTGAATGGACACTTTGGACTTGTGCCTTTCCCTGCATATAAATTACACAGAGCACCTCATTAGCACAGAGAAACGCCTGCCACAAGGGGGTAGAAGAGGGCGGGGCAGGGCAGAGCAGCTCCCCACACACTCCAAGGACTGTCCAGCTGGCTTGGAAGCTCAGAGAGACACAGTGCCCATGGGAGGGTGGCTTACAGGTAGTATTTAAGGACTGAGAAAGCACAACCCAGTATAAAAACACACCCTCCCCTTTCCGAGAAAGCCCTATTCACTACACCTCGAAGATGGTCCACTCACCTGCAAACGGCTTTCTCTGTGTAAGCACGCCCCAGATAACGATGGCAAAGCTGGAAGAGAAACCAGGCCTGTTAGTGTCTGGGAAACAGAGCTTGAGAAAACCACTCTGAAGCCTGAGAGAGAAAGAGACGGAGAGAGAGGCCATCAAAATATTTCCCATTGGTTTTTCAAAGGGGAAAATACCCTGATAGTGAATCTTCTCACACTGTTAGGACAGAACTCTGCCAACTGAGCTCAAGTGTTTGAACAGCCTGAGACACCTGTGAAGGGTGCAGTACTGTACAACTGGACCTTAACTCTCAGGGAGAATGGCCTGCTGCTTAATTCACAGTCATCGTCCTGCAAACACCAGGCACGGGGCAGGTGCTCAAGCATTTGCTAATGAGTGATTGGGAAGTTCATGTCCTCCCTCCCCTCTCCTCTGCTAGGGCTTCAGTCTATGAAGACACAGATTCAGGTTCTGATCAAATGCTCCTGACTGAGGATCTCTGAGATTTCATCAGCATGTTGTTAAAGAAAGTGCATACACATTATAAGGTAGCATTCCGGCTGAATGCCCAGAGCCCTTTTGGGCTTGTTGGGGGATATATAGAGGTAAGGATATAGAGAGTGAGCTGAATCTGATAAATTGAGTTAGATATATATGAATGTATGTATGCACATGTGTGTGTGTGTGTGTGTGTGTGTGTTCCCAAAATTGAGCTACCACCAAGCACTGAGTTGACAGTGGCTGTTCATAGAGACATGAGAATTCACCACTGAGAAATAACTGAAATCTGTAAGTTCAAAAGTTAAAACTCTCAACCATAAGATAAACAAAAGAAACTTACTTCCCCCAAAGTCTACAAGCTGTGACTAGTCCCCGAAGTGCAATCTGGCAGCTGTGGTGCTCATAGGCCCAGCTAAGCACAGCACAATGACTACTGTCAAAGCAGCCAGCCAGGACCACAGGCGGCGGTGAGGACAAAGCAGGGCTTGAGTGCTGAAGAGACCAGTCAGTCACAGCATGGAGGACCATAGCCACAATGAGAGGCTTAAGTGCACGCCCACACCCTCCCTCCCTATCTTCTCCAAGTCTGTGTGATTAAGACCTTCTTAGTTCTAAAGGACACCAGGTGACTTGAGGCTTGTTCTGTGGCCGTACAAGTCCTGCTGACGTTGGTTTGCGAGCTGCTGTGGGTAGCTCTCACCAGAGGTAAGCAGCATCAGGAAGTGTGAGCACTCCCTTCACAAAATTCACGGGAGACTGAATTTTGGAGAGCCCAAATCCAAATGCGTTTACAGGTGCACAGACCATTTAGAGCATCAGCTCTTCCAAAAGACAAGCAATAAAACCCACGAGTCATAAAAATGCGGAGGCTTTTGCAGTGTGGGAGCTGCCAGGCTGGTTCAATTAACTGGCTCGAACTGGCACCAACCACTGACATTCCCCATGTCAGCGGGCAGCATTCATAGGAAAGAAGGTCCCTGTATTCCTGTGATAACCTTTATCTGCCGGCTAAAAGCCCGGACCCAATAGCACACATGACTTGCGTTAGCACAGAACCCCCATTTGATGAGCACTGAGAACCTTTCTGAAAGTTGCTATTCAGGGCCCAAAGAAGCAGGGCCTGAGGCATAGCCACACACCTGTACACGTCGTGCTTGGTGTCGAAGAGCCGGCTCTTCTCTCGGATGCGCTCTGGAGGCAGGTAGGCAATGGTGCCGAACAGGCCATCCATGCTGAGGTCGTGGGAGTGGGACAGCCCGTTGCACTTGGCCAGGCCAAAGTCAGAAATCTGCAACACAGCAGCCAGACAAGGCTTTAGCTCCCAGCAATGCCACACATGGCCTCTGAGGACATTAGCTACACTTCCCCTCTGCAGTGGTGGAGGGCGCGGTCCCCCATGCCTGCCCGGTGGGAGTTGGGGCTGTGTTCCTCTAGGCAGTCCTGCCCCAGCAAGTGGGGAGGCTCAGACAGCTGAGACAGAACCAAGTCTGGGCACACTTGATGGACAGGGGAGAAAAGGATTACTAGGCTTCAAGGGAGGATTCACTGGGGGAGAGAGAAAAACTCAGGAGGAATTATAGACTCGCTTCTGGAGAGCATCCTGTTTGCCACTGCTGCTAGCCAGTCAGCAGAAAGGGAAACGAACCCCCTCAGGGTGCAGCAGAGACATGTGACAGTCAGCCAGGGCTGGATCCGGTTATGCAACCTGCCAGCTGGGAGGCGGGCAAGTGGCTACAAGACCTTTAAAGGGAAACACGCCTTCCAAAGCCCTTTAAAGCCAGTGAAGCACACACCTCCCAAGCTCGAAGGAGGTTCTGTTTTCCGCTGGGAATGTTTTGTGATCAATAGGCACTTGCTCAACAATACAGGAATATGAATTTAAGAAATAGATAACTTGCTGGCTCCTTCACCAAACACATGGCATTTGAGGAAAAGGTTTGATAAACCTCTCCTTTGGCAATGTCTGCCAGTCCTGAGGAGCACCTAGACACCAGTTCCTCCAGAACGCACCTCTGCCTCCTGTGTCCGCAGGCAGTGTCCTTAAAGCTCACTTAAACCTACAACTGGGGACCTCTCAGGTCCCACTGGAGCACCTGCCTTTCCTCCCAGTGCTCCTGGCTCCCTGAACCAATCAGACTTCTTTGAAGAGGCTAAAGCACTGTATAAGGATTGAGTTCCACAACTCAACAGCATTATTGAGGCTCCTAATCCACATTGGAAACAGCGCCTGGTCCCCTTCTATTCTCCTTCAAGGCTTGTGGATTTCTAAAGCCTCTTGATTAACCCTAGACTCCTCCCCAAACACACCCGTGGAGTGATAGGAAAAGGGGCTGACTCAGGCCTTTAATTCTGGGCTAGCCAGGTCCATGAGATGAGCCAAGGGCCTGGCATCATTGCTACACAGCAGAGAATCTAGGAAGGTAACTCTTAGGGATCCTGGAGCACGTCTTCAGGGAAGCGACAGGAGGGGAGCTTGCAGACCTGGGCTGCACTGAAGCACATCATGGTAAGGCGCCAGTTCTGGGCCCCTCTTGCTCCAGGTTTGTTCTGAAGCCTTCAAGCTTCCACAGCCCCTGAGAGATCCCCCTCCATCCCACACCATCACCAGTAAGGAAAATGCCAATTCTCCAAAATAAAACCACCACTAATCCTGCAAACCTATAAAACAGCTCCAAGCTGGGAGACAGAATAATGTGTTGTTTCTGAACCGAGAAAGTTCCAGTTCACTGACCAACAGTAGCTGGAAACATTTTCAGTTCAGAAGGGATGATAGACTAGGATGCAGGGATCCCACCATCAGAACTGCCCCCACTGAGTTTGCAACCTGTCACCATCAAATATAGTGACCACTTCCAAAGGCACTTGGTGAAGAAATACACACAAATCCTCTGTAAAAGCTCTGGCACCAAAATGCGAACTTGGAATTCAGAACTCTGCAGAGGGCTGAGGCCTTCCCCTCCAAGTTCCCTGGCCTGGCCCCGGCTGCTTCCTTGCCTGTCGTCTCTTGTTTGGGTACCCAGAGCTGCCTCATGGTCCCTTACTTGGCAGTAGGACACCTTGCCATCACTGAACAGCCAAACCCTATCACCTACAACAAACCTTCACACTGCCCGAGAATGCCAGGTGCTCAGGGCTTACAGGCACCCCCAAACTAGGCGAGGCCAGGAAAGGAGCCCGTTAAGGCTTCAGAGGAAGGCCTTTCTAGACACAGGAAAACACAACCCTGTGTCACCCTTTGAATGCAGTCTGATCTGGGTAAAGTAGATATATAAATGCAGTCTGAGATTTTAAACCAAATTATTCCATTTTTAAATCTGAAACGGATTACATTGAAATTCATATTTCAATAGTAATGCTCTGTGTATTTAATACTGTGTAAGAGCAAGTAGTACTTTAATATTAAGCATACTTAATATACTTTCAAGGCAGGTGGTCACTGTGAAACTGTCCATTTCTCTCTATACAAGAAGGCCCCCCACATGGACAGCACAAGGAAGGTGGTGGGAGGGCAGCTCATGATCCTACTGGGAGTCACCTGGACACCAGTGGCCAATCTGCAAAGCTCCCAAGCTTCACCTTCTGGAATGAAAGCACTGACTCCAGACCCGCTCCCGTTGTTCTCCGACGGCCAAGCAGCTATTTCTAACACTGAAGGAATATGTCATATAAATTTATTTTTCAATTTGTTTTCAGGCTTCTCAGGGGTGGTGATTAATATGCCTGATTAAGAAAGGCATCACACAAAAGCGACCTTTCCTGGGGCCTTCCAGAGTACGCTCAGGAAAGGGGGTGTTGAGTTCCAGACTTGACAGATGCTGCGTCACTTCCTGTTCAGCAAGAACGCTCCCTTCCTGGCACTCCAAAGTCTTTACCGACACCCACTAATGAAAACTGTCACCTGGGCACCAGGTCTTCAAAACTAGATGGTTATATGGAAAGGAGAAAACAACATTCAAACTAAAGAACTCCACAATCAATGGTGTAAGCCGTAGCTTGACAGAGAACAGCAATCAGTCTGTACTGAGCAAGCGTTAGGCGTCTACTCTGTGCCCAGGGCTGGGGAAGATCCCTAGACGGAGAGTCAATATCCTGACTGGAAAAGATGATCTTCTGGTAACAAACATGACATCAACAGTCCCACCTTGGCCAAGCATTTTATCTTCATTGGCCCCTAGCAACAGTCTAGAGATAGGTATCACTGCCCCTTCACCTGCCTTTGGGCTAGGAGACAGAGCTGGCGGGGAAGTGGGGGGGCTGCTTCCGCAAGGCTTTGCCCCTAAGGAAAACATCCAGGAGGATATTACTGTCAGAAAAGGCAGGGCCAGTGTGGAAAGGGAAGGAGCCAGTGATGGCTGTGACTCTGCAAAGATTCCTGGCTTTGCTTACCCACGCAAAGGGCTGTGTCTGCGTTTGTGGTACCTGACAGTACCCAGAGGACATTCAGAGTGGACCCCGAGGAGGCCCATTCCAAGTAGCCCTCTGCGTGCTACAGGCTTAAAAATAAGGCCTTTGTACACCCCTGTTCCAGCCTGACACTGCTTCCTGCCTCCCTGGCCCTCAAACCTGAACTTTCATGGCTTTTCTTGGGATATTTCTTCTACCTTGAGGTTCTAATGCTATCTGCACCTACTACTGACAGCAGGAAAGCCCAGTCCTATCTGAAGAACTATCCCTGTAACATTCCCTCTCCCCCATGGGGAGGGGCCATGTGACTGCTGTCACTTGGTTGTGTGAACAAGTCATATTTGCCAATGGGTCAGCTGGGAAATCAAGGGTCCCAGGGCTGCAGAAAGGGGTTCCAGCCTCTGCCCCGGGACTCATAGCTAGGCCACCCTGACCACAAACATGATCCCTCTAAACCCCTGCTCAGCCAGAGCCAAAGTCCGCTGTCCCCACTGTTCTGTTTCCTGTGCTGTGAAGACTAGGGCAGCTCCTGCAGGCCAAGCCTCTGGCACACAGAGGGAGGAGTTCCCTCCTGGGGTAGGTTGCAGGTTTGGGAGCAAAGGTTGGGCTGCTCCCTGGGCCCACAAGACCCATGTTCCTTGGGAGTCTGTCAATGTTGGGGTGAAGGGTGGGGGTGTCTACTATAAAGCCCAGCCCTGAAAATGACAAGGGAATGGGAATCCCAGGGTCCTAGATGTGAGCAGATCCAGGAAACTACCACAAATCCAGTTTGAACATTATCTAATTTTCATTCCCACTACCTCAATTCCATTTCCCTTGGCACGGGAGCACTTCCATCTTAGCTAAAATCTTACTACTGAGCGACACTTCTCTATGGGACAACTTACAATGACTGTCCAGAGCAAAAAAACGACTTCCCTGCTGCCCTCCAACCAGCTGCACAAGGTGCAGCATGGCCTGGGTGCAGGGAGCAACCACATGCATACAGCGCGGGCCAGAACTTAACCAGCCCCACCCAGAGCAGGGTCTAGGTCCTGCACTCTGGTCTCTCCTCCTGGTCAGGCCAACAGAGAGGCCTGGCCAATCTGCAAAGCTCATGTGCCCCACAGCCAGAATAGCAAAGTGACCCAAGCAAGAGGCGAGCGGGCTCCTGCACTACACCTCATGCCAGCTCCCTTGGAGATAGAGCTACCATTCCTCAGACCTCCCATGGGTCCAGGGCTTCTCTACCTTGACATGGTAGTGGGCATCCAGCAGAATGTTTGCCGGTTTGAGGTCCAGGTGCAGGAGCGGCGGGGACATGCAGTGCAGGAAGTTCATGCCCACGGCTGTCTCATGCACGATGCGGAAGCGCAGGTCCCATGGTAGAGGCTCTGAGGCCAGTAGCTTCTCCAGTGAGCCTGTCTCCATGTACTCCATGACGAGGCCCACGGGTTCCTGGCAGATGCCGTACACGGGCAGGATATACCGGAACTTGGCCATCTCCATCTTCTTGGCTTCCTCTAGAAGCTCCATGCGCTCCCTGCAAAGGTTAAAGGCATGTAGTAAGTGCAGCAGTCACCAGCCCCACACGAGGCACCTCAGCCGGAAGGCAGCCAGCCTCAGACTGCTGATGACAGTGCTCAGATGCACCCGTGGAGCCACTTTTATGTCACATAATTAAGCCAGGTCGTCCACATCTGCAGCCCTGAGGCTGCTCAACTACACTGTGGATTATGGGGTGCCCCAAGGTAAGGAGGGGAGAGATGCTAGTGGTCATCTGGAAACTGTGCTAACGGCTATGACACGTGGCACTGAGCCAATGCTGGGGTATCTTAGTCTACAGGTAAGTGTACCAATCCCTCATCCTGGGATATGGCAAGAAAAACGTAGGTATGATTAAAAGTTGTAGGACCAGCAGATGGCGTAATGGTTATGTTGCTAGATTCCCACATGATTGGCAGTGGTTTGAGTCCCAGACTAGGTAACTTAAAACTCAGACTGAGTGCGTATGGGTGTTTGTCCAAGATCCAGAGAGGAGACTGGGGGAGAAGGGACTGCAGCATGGCCAGTGATTTCTTGCTTTCTGCCTCTCTTTTGAGTGCACATGCCCTACCTATAGCAAAAATCTCTTTAAAAAAAAAAAAAAAAAACGTTGTAACTAATTTAGCCATGGAAACTTTTCTATCCAACACTTTAGCTGGCTCAGTATTCCCTAATCCAATCTCACACTTAAATAATGGAATGGAATTAGTCTAAAGCAAAAGTTTGCCACAGGCCAGACCCGACCAGCCACCATTTTATACGTAACATTTGTCATTTGAACCTTTTAAGTATATAGTTCAACGTCATGACACACGTTTCCCATCTATATAATCACTGCCATCTCCACCCAAAACCTTTTCATCATCCCCAGCAAAGTTCTGTATCCATTAAATACATCCCTCCCGGTGCCCCAGCCCTGTTCCCGTAACCTCTCTTGTGCTTTGTCTATGAATTTGCCTATAAGTAGAGAAGCCTCATTACAACAGAAGCCTGATGGCCTCCAAAGCCTGAAATACTTACTCTTTGGCCCTTTATGGAGAAACCTGTACCTCTGATCTAAATCACTTTCCTGACACCCCTGTTCTTACCAACTAGAATCCCAGTGCCATGGTCTGGATTGGCATTATGGGTCAGAAGTCTCAGAATGCATCCCAGAAAAAAGGCTGATTTCCACAAGGATGCATTTTGGCCATGTACGATCTAGGTCAGTGATTCTCAAACTCGGCCGCAGTGGAGCACACTCAAGTAAAGCTGTTGAAATGCAGATTCCCAGGCACTGCTCTTTGAGAATGAGTTCCAGGTTGGGGCTGGGAGTCTGCTTGGTAAGAGTAAGCTCCTTGCAGAAAGCATCCAGAACCACCTGGACAGACCCAACCTATCCAAGAGCGAGGATCAGAGCAGCTCCAGTGCCGGTACAAATCAGGTGGCAGCCTGGGGCAGGTGACTCCCCCAGAATGAGGAGTCCAGCATGAGACCCTGTCCATCACCCTAGACTCAGCTCACAGCTCACTCCCAGCACAGGGAAACCACCCAGCACCCGCTCCCACTTCCTAGCCTACCACTCCCAGCATAGGGAAACCACCCAGGACTGGCTCCCACTTCCTAGCCTATTAGCCTAAGAAAATCCATAACACAACCAAGAGTACATGTTCATTTCTTACTGAGCCACCTCCCCTTTGCAACCCACTCCCAGGTTTCCACTACAGACACAGAAACATTTCCCCCTGCAGGAAGGACAGCAGACAGAAGCAGCCCCCTGGACTTGGTTTACCAAAAGCTGCAGCACCAAAACCCTTCCTGTGTTGAGCTCTCACTGGAGGATTTCCTCTATCAACTCAGGGCAAGCCCTGCAGCTAGGCACTGGGTGTAGATCAGGGATTCTCAAGTAGGGGTCACCATGTCCCCAGGGGATGGGACAAAGTCTGGAGACATTCTTGTTGTCCCAACTGGATGATATGGCTAAAGATCCCACATGCTTAAAGGGCACAGCTTTAAGGCAGGGGTGGTCCAGCCCCACATGCCAGTAGCAGAACCCCTGGCATAGACCAAGTTAATGTTAATGCATTTTCAGCCAAATTTAAAATAAACTACTATAGGAGCCAGCCAGTCACTTGATGGTTATGGTAATTGGATACCACATGCCCAACTGAGCTGTTCAAGTCCCAGACCTGACAACTTGAAAAAACATGACAGACGTGCACCCAAAATCAAGAAAAGACTGGAGAAGGGATTACTGCATGGCTATCCCCCCTGGGGGAAGGGGTGCTTTCTCACTTTCCCTCTGTCTCCCACTAACACACGTGCCCTATAGCAAATTTAAAATAACATATTTCATTTGTTGCTAAGTATTTGCTGAGCACGTACAGTGTGTTAGGACTGATGACAAGAGGCCCCCTTCCTGTGTTTGTGTTTATCTTCTAGGACAGAAGGTGAAAAATCACACCAACACAGAATGTGCAGTTAAAACCTGAGTCCAGGGGCCAGCAGATGGTGTAATGGTTACATTGCTGGACTTACATCGACTGCATGGCTGACTGCAGTTCGAGGTCTAGACCAAGTGGCTTAAAACTCACACTGGGTACATATTGGAGCATGCCCAAAATCCCAAGAGGAGAATAGGGAGAATGCCCAAAATCCCAAGAGGAGAATAGAGGAGAAGGGACTGTGGCATGGCCACACACACCCCCCCCCAGGAGGTGATTTCTTGCTTTCTGTCTCTCTGTCTGTATCGTTCACTGGTGAGCACATGTGCCCTATAGAAAAATCTCTACCCTCCCTCCTAAAAAAAAAAAATCTGAGTCTAGTATTTTGTAAGGAAAGCACATGAGAGGCTCTGGGAGCAGTAGGGGGGACCCTAAGTCAGGTGGGAAGAGAGCAGTAGAGAAGGGCTCATGAGAAAGCCTAGGGTGGGAGGAGGAGGCTAGGCAAAAAGAGCCTTGAGGGACTTAGGCTGGTCAGCAAAGTGGAAGGGAGACATTTCTGGAGGAAGAGTCGATAAGGCTGGATGACCAATGGATGGGGGTAGGGAGAGAGAGAGAGAGGGCAAGGATGGACCCCAAGACACTGAGCAGTTCCCATCCAGGGACACCCCTGGAGGAGGGGATGGGAGATCATGGGGGAAGGGGCAAAACCCCAAAGATTTACTTGAATATACTTAAAGAGCAAGGAATGCCCCTGGATTTAGGGACAAGTGAAACAGGTACCAGGAATAAACTATTTAAATTACTATACAACAAATGAGTTAGCTGGCAGGCTTACTTAGCACTCTGGTTAAACGACCAACCAGTGGAAAACAAGATGTCCACAAGAGCGCAGTGGGGGCCCTTGGCTGCACTAAGCAGAAGCACCCCCCCCCACACACACACACACACCCTTGCTGCTCCCTCCCTCCAGGGGAACCGCCATTATGAGGCCACAGGTTCTTGTGCACAGGTCAAGATGGCCAACCACCTCACTGCAGGCGACAGGGTTTGGGGGGGGGGCGGGGCACAGGGCCACACACAGGGACAAACCCCAATAGCACCCAGGGTGTGCTGGCTTGGTGACCATAATCCAAACCAGGCTGGTGGTCTTCCCAACTCTGTGCCCAGTTTCAACAGTCACCTGAGGAAAGGAAAGCAAAGGGTCGGGTGCCAACATCAAGCATCATTTCAAACAAATCTGGTCACTACAGAAAGAAAATGACATCTCTGGACTCCTTTCCTCACTTTCTAGGAAGAGGAGTAGCTCAGACTTCGTTATTTAAACCAGCCCAACCAGCACCTCTGATCACTGCTCCTAACCTCCCACTGCTACTAATGCATAGACGTTGCTGCTCCCATTTCGTGTCTCCTGAAGAATCATTTGAGTGTCCCCTACCACTTTTATTTTCTTTTTTAAAAGTGGCCAGCTGACCACCCCTCCCCTACTAGTGTGGGAGTCCCTTGGCATCTGCACTAAGTCCTGCGGCAGGATTGAGACTCACTTCCAGTGTGACACAGTGCAAGGCACACCCTCCTGCAGAAGGCTTTGAGGAAGTGACAATACAGGTATTTACAGGCCAGCATAAACAAAGGCCACTTTCCCATGTCCTGTCAACATTCTGAGAGTGAGTCCTCTAAGCAAGCATGCATTTTGAGAACAAGTGAATTAAATTAAGGCCAAATATTGTATTAAGCGGAAGCTCTGAGCCACTCTGCAAATTGTCTTCTTCCACTTGCCCAAAGGGCTTAATACATAAACCCTAGCGACTTCTGACTGCGGAGCTCATTAGCGACTCTCCTAACCGCCGCAGGCAAGCACCAGGCACGCCTCCCTCCACACCACACCAAGTTCAGCTAGTTCCCATTCTCTCCTGCTCTGAGCCCTTTATGCTGAACAGAGACCCATTTACCTTGCTTTAATAAAGAAAGAAAGAGAAAGGGAAAAAAGCCAAGATTGCTGATTTGTCCCTGAAAGCTGATCCCACTTCAGTCTTCAGTGGGATCCCCTCTCGCCTTGCCCAACTGCCTGAAGAGACCTGGTACTATTTCCCCCCTTTACGGGCCACACATTTCAGGGTATTTTGTCCAGGAAAATGAGCCATGGTTTCCAGAGACAAAAGCACCATCTCCATGACAGTAAGATCAGAAATGCCTTGGGCACGTTGGACTCTGAGAAAGGGGCTCTGAAGACCACCCAGCAGGAGGTTCTTGGACAGTGCTGGGGTGGCTGCAGCCCCCTTGCATGTCAGCCTTGATTTTGCTCAAAAGGGTCAGTACATTTACGGAAATTTATGCCACTGATTTTCCAGTAACCACTGAGCCAAAACCCATTATTTTGGCCTTTCCATGGTGGTCTCTGCCCAGATACATCCCCCCACCCCCCCTCACTCCTCCCTCTGAAACCTCAGAAAAAGGCTTTTCAGATAAGAGCGATTTAGAAGTTCTCAAAAACTCAGAGCTCAGAATAATAAAAATACCCCCCCGGGCTGTTTTTGTTAATAGCACTTATTTTTAAATATACTTTCCCACTAAACAG